TTGCTGCAAACTGCTTTCATCCTGGCACCACTCAAAATTTTTCATTCGATTCCCATGACTCATAAAGTAAAGCTTGAAATCATTAGCTAAATACTAAAGACCTTTCAAAATGTCACCTAAACCCACCTTTCCAACCTCATTGCCCTATACCACCCAAAATGAACTCATAGTAGCAAATGATGAAATTGGTTAGTATGCCCCCAGCAAGCTTCACATAGCCCTTACTTCATGTATTTGCTTACTGTATTCTCTCCAAGAAGAATGCCATCTCCTCCTTTCCCCACTAACAATCACAGTCAGCTCTGTGCTCCTTCACAAATAGATTTCCTGATGAACTAGCTCTCAGGAATTTCTTCCTACTCTAATTTCCCCTAGCACTTGCTGTATGGCACTTTCAGAGGATTATCGATTTAGAAGTGGAAGGAACTGCTGAGGTCATCTGATCAAAACACTTCATTTTACCAGTAAAAAAGCTAAATCTTTAGAGATGTTGTTTGACTTGCACAGGGTCAAAGAGTTAGTAAGTATCAGAGGCACAATTGGATCTCAGATCTTACCAATACAGAGGCCAGCATCCTATCTATGATTCCACCTTCACTGAGTATTTACAGTCTTGTCTTCTAGTATTGTTTAGTTTTTATGTATCTAATCTCTGTCTTATTAACTAAATTCTAATCTCACTGAAAAAAGATCCTGTGTCTTTTTATTTCTTGGTATCCCACACAGTGTCAAGCACAGCATCTTACATGCTCAACAATGTTTGAAAATATAACTCAAATCTCCTCAGGTCCAGTGATCAAGTTTAGAATTTTAACTCTCAACTACAACAGACATGTTTCACACTTGTATTAAAGTCCTAGGCACTCCCACACCCGAGTCAAGCACCTGATCATTCATCCAGTTTCTTCTACCCATTTCTCCACCATCTTTGTCATTACCATCCTCTGGCATAACTTGCTTCTCACACAGCACTTTGAAAGCAAAGGGAATTTATGTAAGTGTTTGAAAGAAGACTCAGCAAACAACGTACTTGAATACAACCGGTATGAGAAAATTGTGGAATGGTTCTCCAGCTTCAACAACAGACCACAAAGACAATCTTTAATAAACTTCCACTACTTTCAATTTCTTTTTCTTCCCTTATTGCTAAAGCTAATGTTTCCAGTACCATATGGAACAACAGTGGGATAATGGACATCCTTCTTTCACCCCAAATCTTTTTGCAAATGCTTCTAGCTTATCCCCATTACATATGATGCTTGCTGAAGGTTTTAAGTATGCTACTTATTATTTGAAGGAAGACTCCATTTATTCCTATGCTCTCTAGTGTTTTTAATAGGAATGGGTGTTGTATTTTGTCATCTATTGAGATGATCATGTGGTTTCTGTTAGTTGACATGCCCAGATGGATAGGTAGATAGATACATATGATGATATATCTAGAGAATTATAGAGAATCAAGTAAAAAACTATTTGAAATAATAAATGACTTTAGCAAAGTTACAGGCTATAAAATAAACCCACATAAATCACTGGCATATCTATATATTACCAACAAAGCCCAACAGCAAGACATAGAAAGAGAAATTCCATTTAAAGGTACTCTAAACATTTAAAAATATTTAGGAGCTTACCTACCAAAACAAGCCCAGGAATTATTTGAACACAATTATAAAACACTATTCACACAAACATGTCAGATCTAAATAATTAGAAAAACGTCAATTGCTCGTGGGTAGGCTGAGCTAATATAATAAAAATGACAATTCTACCCAAGCTAATTTACTTCTTCAGTGCCATACCAAAAAAATTATTTTCTAGAACTAGAAAAAACAATAACAAGATTCATTTGGAAGAACAAAAGGTCCAGAATATCAAGGCAACTAATGAAAAGAAATGCAGGGAAAGGTGGCCTAGCTGTTCCAGATCTTCTATTGTATGATAAAGCAGCAATCATCAAAACTACTTGGTTTTGGCTAAGAAACAGAGCAATGGGCCAGTGGGATAAGTTAGGTATGCAAGACACAGTAGTCAATGACTACAGTAATCTACTATTTGATAAACCCAAAGACGCCAGCTTCTGGGATAAGAACTCAATCTTTGACAAAAACTGCTGGGAAAACTGGAAAAGAGTATGGCAGAAACTAGGCATAGACCCAAATCTCACACCATATACCAAAACAAAGTCAAAATGGGTACATGATTTAGATATAAAGACTGATACAATAAGCACACTGGGAAAGCAAAGAATACTTTTCCTCTCAGATTTATGGAGAACAGAAGAATTTATGATCAAACAGGAGATAGAGAACATAATGAAATGCAAATTGGATAATTTTCATTACATTAAATTGAAAAGTTTTCCCACAAATAAAGCACAAACGAGATTAAGAGGGAAGCAGAAAACTAGGAAAGAATTTTTACAAACAGTGTCTCTGATAAGGGACTCATTTTTAAATATATAGAGCAGTAAGACAAATTTATAAGAATACAAGTCATTCCCCAATTATACATTGGTCAAAGGATATGAGCAGGCAGTTCTCAGAAGAAATTAAAGCCATCTGTAGCCGTATGAAAAATGCTCAAAATCACTATTCATTAGAGAAATGCAAATCAAAACAATTCTGAGGTACCAGAGTGGCTATCAGATTGCCCAACATGACAAAATACATAAAAAACATATGTTGGAGAAGATGTGGGAAAATTAGAACACTAATGCATTGTTAGTGGATTTGTGAAATGATCCAAACATTTTGGAGAGCAATTTGAAACTATGTCCAAAGGGCAGCCTGGGCTGAGTTCCAGTCAACCTCCTCTTTGAGACCCCCTCATGGCAGGGACAGCTCTACAACCCTTCCAGCAGAAAGCAGTTTCAGAAGCCAAGACCTTCGCTCCTCATCCCAAAAGAATTTGGGTCCCATTTGTTTGAGGGGGGAAGGATGGGGTTGGGATCTAGACCCCAGAAAGGAAAAACCCTAGACTTCCCACATGGCCAAATCTCTGGTGTCCCCGAGACCATAATCTCATCAACTAGCCTTTCGTTGTGGCTACACCACCCTTAACCTAGCCTAGCCCTCCATTGTCTTACCTCCCTATGGCCCTAGGCCACTTTCCACCCTTAATCCTAGCCTGGCTCCATTCTCCCTTGACACTGTGGTCCTGGTCCCTGGCATTCTATTACCTCACTGTTCCTGCAAACTACTTGGCCACTCTTAGATCCCACCCACAATCTTTCTGTATGTAAGCCACTAGCTAGCTAATATTCAGATTCCTAAAGAGTCTGCCCAATATGAAGGTTCAGACTCCTTAAGAGTCTGGTATGTTCTAATAAACCTTGTCTTTGGCTAAACAAAAAATATTTCTTGCAGGCCTCGACATGGAATGCAAAGTAAAAGAATTATTAAATTTTTTCTTCAATGTTCGCAATTAGGACAAGATATTTTTACAAATACTTAACCCAAAAAGAGTCATTCTACAAGCAGAACTGAATACTGAAGCTATTCCTTGAACTCTAAATTCCCTTGTAGTTGCCTTGGTCGGCAACTCACTGGGACCACCTAATGGTACGATGGAAGGTGTATAGAAACTGCCTTGAAGTCTCAGGACTGAATCCTAGCTCTGTTACTCACTATATATGAGACCCGCAGTAAATCACTTAATCTTTATGGGCCTCATTTTCCTCATTTCTCCAATAAGGAAGTTGAACCAAGTAGCCTTAAAGTCCATTCCTGCCTGAGGACTACAATCCAGTCTTGCCAATATGCAAAGCATTTAATAGTGAAAAATATAATTTTATATGTAAAAAGTATAATAAAACTGTGAGAAACGTATATGATTTTGAATGCAGGAAAGTACTACAGAAAAGATATTTAGGGCTCTAAATAGGTGATTTTCTTCTGTTAAATAAATAGCTTGTTTGAGCCAGTAGATAGCAGCATCAGTGGGGGCATCAGTGGGCATGTAAGTCAGCAAACCTGTGACACAGTGACTCATGTGCTCTCCAAGTCTTGCTATATATACAAACCCTTGCTACTGAGGTAGATTGTCCCCTGCTGACTTCAGTGAGTACATTTGTCCACACTTTTACTGCCAGAGTAAACAATTATGCTCTTATTATCCTTTGGGATGGAAAGAGGAAGTCCATCTGTAGTATGTAAGCAGAACAACTTTATGAGTAAACATAAGTTCTCTCCCTGTTCCTTCCCACTTTTGATGTTCAGATTCATACTGCTGTACTGAGGTAGGAGGTTGGGGGGTGGGAAATGGAAAGAATTAATATATTCCTTTTTAAGCTCTTCTACACTTCCTTTTGGTCCTGAGACCAAATTACACTTTTCTTTGAGGCTTCAAATGTATCCTTTTTCACATTGTCATCCTCTTCTAAATTTGTGCCTTCATCTTCCTTGTCATCATAGTAACTTTCTATGTCAAGTTCTTTTCTACTTTTTTGCTTATTTTTTCTGCCTCTTTTATGCTGTGGTATTTTTATGTGAGAATTGGGTTCTGATCCTTCACTGTCGCAAGATTTTTGTGCTGAAACTCAGCATCTTCCTACTGGTTTTCACGAGGCTTCAGAGCCTAGTTGCTTCCTTCCACTTGAGGATGCCTTCTGTTCTGGCTTGTACTGGTGGGATGGGATCTCACTGTTCACCTTTCCCATGTATCAGAATTTTCTAATAGGCCTCAGGGATGGGGCCTTGATGCTGGGCTGCTATGGAAACAGAGCTGACTGGACCTGGGGCAGGGGCAAGGCCCTGCTACTGGGGTGTTATGGAAACAGGGCGTCTCTGCTGAGGAGATCTAGATGAGGTCTCACTACTAAGCAGCACCAGGGGTCGGGTCTCCCTCCTGGCAGCCCCAGGGACAGGGTCCCACTGTTGGCCAGCCCCAGTACAGGACCTCACTACTGGTCTGCAATGGAACCCAGTCCTTTCCTGGTGGCCTGCGCTGGGGGTGGGGCCTTGTTATGCTGTACAGAACTTATGACTTTCAAGAGGGTGGGGCCTCAATGGTAGGTTGCCCCAGGCTTAAAGCCTAGCTATATGCCTGCTCTTACACTCAGACCTTCCTCCTCGCCAACCCCAGGGAGACAGATCTTTCATGCTGTGCTGGTAAGCAGCTTCCCTGCTCTGAGATCAGTTCTGAAGCAGTTTTCAAGTGTTTTCAGGAGAATTTGGGAAGGCTTCAGGGAGTTCCTTCATCACTCTGCCACCTTGAAACTGAAAGTCCTACTGGTAACTTTTTTTAAACATATAATTAAATTAATGGATCAAAAGACTGTCTTTTGCTATGTTGTCTGTCTCTCCATCTTTTTCATTCTCTCTTCTCTCTCCCTCCATCTGTCTGTCTGTCTCTCTCTCTCTCTCTCTCTCTCTTTTGAAACAGGCACAGTGATTCTATTACACTTGACCTTTTACACCTCAGAAATTTGTAAATGCAAAAAAAAATGGAGTTTGACTTTTTGCTTTGTTGATTATCTAGACTTAAAGTATTAGAAAAATGACAATAATGTACATTAAATTGAAAATGTATCTTGTGCACATTTCTTGAGAACAGGTTACTAAACATTTACACTTCTGCTTATAGGATAGTAATATTTGTCACATGGGTGCCCCTTAATAAATATTGGTCTAAAACCTCCACAGCTTGCTCTCATTCCTCTGGAACCCACCATAACTGCATGATTTGGCATACAGAGAAATAGCTTTTCATATGCAGAAGGTTCAAGTCTTAACATTTTTCCTTCTTGAAAACCTCGGGCTTATTAAATACTTGTTGAACCGTCTAGAAAATTGGGGGAGACAATGAAAGTCAATCAGTAATATAGGCTCCTAAAGGGAAGTATCTTCATGTATATCACTATAATCTTCCTTCATTTGGAACTTAAATGTTATTATGACGGCTTATATCGATTACTACAAAGCAATGGTCATGATGATTGTAAATCATAAGGACTCCAATAGCTGTGTCTTTTTATTTGAGATTTCACCTGTCATTCCTCATTCTCAAAATGTCTTTCTTTTTTGTCTCTCTCTTGATACAACATACACATACACACTTATACACATCCACAATTACCCTCACAAACCCTAACCACCCAAAACTGAAATTTCCCCAAGTAGCAGATGCTGCTATCAGATTAATGAAACTCGGTATTCAAATTCCTAATACGGCTGTTTTGGAAAAATTGCTCACAGAATTGTAAATAGGGTCAGCAATGAAGACAATATACTGAGGCTTTTTGATGACAGTGTAGAAACAGGTGGACCCTGACAACATGAATGGATTTTAGTCTAAAGAATCAGTTTGCCTGGGCTGAGATCAGGCATCAAAAGCAACCATGTTGGAGTAGCCAGTCAATTTTTGGAGTCAAGATATTTAAACAAGCCCAAGCTCACACTTGCTTTCAAATAAAGCAGTTTGTTGTCAACCTGAGCAGTGCCTGGGCCACATCGAGCTCCCCCCATTGTTTCCCACTTGTCTTGGAATAACCGTAAATAACCACACAAAGCCTTCTTCTTATCATTTCTTTAACTAAAATTCAAAGTTTAAGTAAAGATTTTACTGGGGACATGTGAATTAAGTGTGCTTATAAACTGAGATAAAGTGAGATTATCTCCACAATCCAAGAACAATCAAAATGACCTTGAAAATTACAACTATCACTAAGCATATTGTTGTTTTAAGTCATGGACACTACATGATTCACCTTTATGTAAGACTAGCCAAGATTACTAGTCATTTAAGATTCTCCAGTGAAAAAAATATTCTCTGTAAAAAATGTTCCAAAAACAGTAAGAAAGCCATTAAAACTGACTGTAGAAAATGACCAGGGTACATATTTCTTTTAAGGAACTGGCAAGTTGCTGTCCCACAATGTCCTTAGATGTCCAAGTAAGCAAAGCGTTTCTACAAGAAGTTCAAGTCAAAGAAATCAATGCAGTTCTTCTAACCAAAGGAATGAGTGATAATTGGGAAAGCATTTGGAACTTCCAAGCCAAGCCCAATGATCTCCTCATCGCAAGTTACCCAAAATCAGGTAAGCATCAGGAAATCTTGGTAATAAGGATGAATCTACCTTTATTAAAACAGGTATGTAGGGAGTGAGCTTCTAAGCAATTCTTATGTTCATTCAAAAACTGGCCCTAGATAAGAAGGCAAATAAGGCTCAGCTACAATTAACTCTACCAAGCCCCAATACTTGCTTTACTTTGCTTCTAACAACTGGCTGAGTTCTTCTTAATTAAGGCAATAAGTCATTCATTGAAGAGAGACAATAGAGAGGAAAAAATGATATTGCAATGAGGAACATTATATAATGAAACTTGGGAAAAATATTGAAGCCTATGTGGGATGATCTTAGTAACCAGAGGGTAGCATACTAGATTCCTGAGGAGATGAGGGTGTGGAGGTTGAAACCAGGTGGCAGAAGGCAGGAAGACCTATCTCCAATTTGCCTAGGTTAGGCTCTAGAATGAGCCAAAACAGAAACGTATTCTAGTATAAGGTAATTGCATTATATTTTGCAGAATGAGATGGATTAAGATAATGATCCAAAAGCACCAGGACAGCTCTGATATTTTCTTACATAATTCATCTCCCAGTAAGTATTATTTGGGAGAGATTAGAAAGGCTTTCCCCTCTGTGGGAGGCTGAATACTACTGTCCTTGCACTAGTTTGGGAGAGAAGACTCTAGCACTTGGGGGACTCAGAAAGGGCTTCAAGCATAAGGCAATGCATGTGAGGTGTCTTAAAGGCACCAAGTGGCTCCATGGAATGGAAATTTCAAAGGCATTTGTTAGAAGAACAGGGAACAATCAAGACAAAGGAATGTCATGTGTGAGAAACTGATAGAGCCTCTTTTATCCAGTGAGCACTAGAGAGAGTGAAATGGCCAGACAGGCTAGAAAGATAGTTTGGGGCCATTTTTTCTATGATTATAAAGGCTAAGAAAGGAAAGGAAAAGAAAAGAATAAAAAAGGGAGTTTACATTTTATTCTAGAGGCAATAAGACCCCACTAGAGTTAATTACATATAGGATTCACATGATTAGAGCTGGGATTATACAAAATAATTTGTCAGTACTGTGGAAGATAGATTGCAGTAGAGAATATGCCATAATCTCACTGTAAGAGGATGAGGACCTAAGGTGGCAGCTGCATGAATGAATAAAAGAGGCTGGGTACAAGTCAGAGGATGGTCCCATCTTCATTATGCTCAGCAAATTGAAATGGATGCCTCCAATGGACCAAAGTCCCCTCACCCACTCTTCTGTAAGATAGCACTGAAGTTAGATCTTCTGTCATTACTTGGTCATTGCATTCTCTTCCATGATGGCTGCTGTGACACCACCAGTAACAATTGATTCAAGAGCCAGCTGGGGAATGGAGTGGACAGAGGGTAGGACTTAAAAAATCAGGTATACCTCAGTCTGAAATTTGCCTCACTCACATTGGTTGTGGGACCCTGGGAACCTCACTTAACTTTCTTCAGTAACCCTGTTCCTAATCTATAAAATGTAGACAAGAATAGCAGCTATTTCACAGGGTTTTTGTGGGGATCCAATGAGAGTAAATGTAAAACTCAACTGTGATTCCAGTGATATAGAGAGCTCTCGCATCAGGACACACCCTGTACCAAAACAAGTAACCACCTTCTCTGAAACTCACAGCCTTAGAGAGCTGTCTAGGGAAACAGGTTAATTAAATCACTTGTCCAGGGTCACATAAGCCTTGTGTTTTCAAGATGGGCCTTCAACCTAGGTCTCCCTGGTGCTGAGGCCATCTCTACATTCTCATATATCTAAAGCACTTTAAAGAGCCTAAATGATAATAGAAATGTCTAATGTTAGTATAATAGAGTCCCAAAATCAGCTCTCTGCTACAACAGTGAACTCTATAGAAAACTTCCTCATTAAAACAACAAACTTTGGACAAGGAACAGGACAAAATACTTTGGAGGCATCTTTTTCTCCTCATTTCAAAATCTTTCCTCTTTGGCACAAAGAGTAGCCAATAATTATTTTTCTCAACCTTAGCCCCTCACTTTCAAAAAATGAAACACCATATGATTTAACCTCCATAACCTTCCCCAGGCCTCAGATGGGAAACACTTAAGAATCTAACAATAAAATCCCATAGTTTCCACTCTGCTCTGTAGTCATCTTCAAGTCACCCAGGAAGAAATGAGCTGTTAAAGTTGTAATGACTTCATATATCATGATAGGAAACCAAAGGCTATTTGGCAATTTTACATTTACTCACTGTGTCTGAACTTTGGAAAGCTGTCCCCAAGAAAATGATGAAGCCATGACTATATAGTGCAGATTTCTATAACTGACATCCAGGTAGATAGGGAGAAGAAAATTTGTTTTGGATGGAAGACAAAATAAAAGCAATTATACTTTTTCTAGTAAAAATACACTCTACTATAAGGACACTTTTAAATAGAGATATATAATAGTTTGTTCAGAGGTGAATAGGTTCTAAAAATGGATTTCTATGGATTTGTACACACAGTTTAATTATATTAATGACTATAGATCAGAACAAGATGTACCCTCACAACAGATTAGGACTCACTGGGGTCTCAAGGACAATCCCCCAGGACTAGTGCTAGAATGATTTCAGCATATACTTATTAAATGAATGAATTGATTATTTGAGGTTAAATTATGCTTTAAATATATAGACTAAGGAATGACAACAACAAGCTCTTTCAGGCACAACCTGGACACAAGAGATTGTGGACATGATCCAAAATGATGGTGATGTAAGAAAGTGCCAGCGAGCTTACACGTATGTTAGGCAACCTCATCTTGAGTGGAAACCATGGCTACTCTCCACACCTGGTAAGTTTCTTCCACTATACTTGGATTGACTTAGTATTAGAGTACAGGGCTTTTCCTAACACTTTCTCTGCCAATAGGGGTTGTCATACTCTCTGGAAAATTTTTTTACCCAGTTTACTCAGAGTTTGACTGAGTATGTAACACAGCTATTTTGTGTCATAGCAAGGACATGAACCACAGTCTTCCGGGCCTTGAGGCTCCCATATTTCCCTGGTTCCAAAAACTACTTTCTGCCTTGCAATTTTATACTTACATTAGGGAACAGAGAATTCTCTCTAGTTTACATCACATACACCCCTAAATCAGGTGCTGGTATTGCTGGTAAATCATCTTCAGATCAACGGAGATATGTGTTGTATGTAAGTGCCTTCCAAATATTTATGTACTGTATTAATGTTAACTATTTTTTTCTTTTCTAAACGGACGACACAGACAGCCAAAAAGAAATCTCTTTATATGCACTAAAACTTCTTCAAACAGCCAATTTCAGATTTCCATGAGACAGTAACACAAAAGTTACATATCTGAGGGAAGCAGAATACAATTAAATGACACTACACTATTTACCAGGACTGGAGGAAGCCGAGAAAATGCCTTCTCCAAGAACAATGAAGACACATCTGCCTGTCCAGTTGTTACCACCATCCTTCTGGAAGGAAAATACAAAAGTAAGATCAGCCAATACTTCATATCTGCCTTGTTTTGAATCAACTTTTATTCTAGAGGACAGGAAACAATTTTTTTTAAAACAAATATCTAATGGATTTCAAGGCAGCTGTGCCTTCACAATACAAAGAGCTACATTTAATTTTCATATTTCTGGGTATTGAGAGAGGAGTTCTCTAGTGAACAGACTGAATGGGTAAAGAGAATCCTCTCATTTGGGAATTCCTATACCAGTGAAATCACTGAGTCTGTCCATATCTCTTGACTTTTATGAAGCAGGCCTTTGTGACATTTGCAATATTTACTTCAGAATTAAGATATGGTAACTTTCCAACTTTGTTTACTCTTTAATTTTTGTAATTAATCAGCATTTATTTTCTCTACATCTGACCTCCCACTTCAATGAGAACAACAAAGGCATATGTCTTGTGACAAATATGTATAACTAACCAAAATAAATCCACACATTGGCAGGTTGAAATAATGTATCTCATTTAGCATATTTAGTCCATCATGTATCTGCCAAGAGTTGGATAGCGTTCTGTATCATCAATCGTCTGGAAATGTGGTAGATCATTTCTATTGACTGGCTTTCTTAAAGATTCCAGTTTATTCATCTTTATTATGTGGTTATACCATTAGTTGCCCCCCCCCACTTGCTTCAGCTAATTTCATTCTGAATCAGTCCAAAGAAGACTTCCCAAGTTCCTTTGAGAACTCCATTACATCATTTCATATGAAACATTAGTATACTATTACTTCAAATGTATTTCTTTGATCAACCAATCCTCAAATGATGTAACAAACTAAGTTTCCAATTTTTAGCTACTACCACAAAAAATTGGCTATGAATATTCTTAACCAAATGAGCAAGAGAGACAATTACAAAAGGTAAAATAAATAACTTCAATTAGTTGAAACTGAAAAGCTTCTGTACAGACAAAATTATTGCATCTGAGATAAAAAAGGAAATGGACAAAGGAGAAAAAAAAACTTTCTTTCAGAGTTTTCTATAAAAGACTTGGATTCTAAAAACATATAAATAATTAGTAAACATAAGATAAATAGCCATTCTCTAATAGATGTGTGGTCAAACAATATGAACACTTCTTAAAAGAATTACAACATATTCACAAATACATGGAAGAATCCTCTAAATCACTAATAATAAGAGAAATTAACTTCAAAATAACCCTGAGATTTGAACTCATATAATGCAATTTGATAAAAATAAGCAAAAATGGCAATAGGTCAGGGGGAAATGTTATGCAAGAATAGGCACACTGATATATTGTTGATGCAACTGTGCAGTGGTACAACCATTTGGGAAGCGAATTGTCCAAACTGACTAAAATGTGTATACACCTCAAATTAACATCTACAATAGTGAATATTTATTACAAGGAAGCCATCAATAGGAAGAAAGTTCCCATATACATCAAATAATTAATAGCAGTTCTTTTTATGATACCTAAGAACTGGAAACAAAGTAGATGCTCATCAATCAAGAATGGCTAAACAAATTGTGGTACATGAATGTAATGGAATATTATGAAGCAGTAGGAAAAGATGAATAGGATGAATACAGGAAAACATAGAAGGATCTATATGAATTGATGCTGAGTGAAGTAAGCAGAAACAAGAAAACAACATATAGAATAACTCAAACAATGTAAATGAAAAGAACAAGTACACACTGAAAAATCAAAAGGAAATGAAACAAATATATGAAGAGCTATCAGTACACAAAGGAAGGACACAATGAAGGCATTCCTTTGTGGACTTAGAAGGTAGTCAGGTATCACATATTAAACATGTTTTTATCAGCTATGCTGATTTTTTTTCCTCACAAAAATACTTTTTTAATATAACATGACTTTCTAGAAGGAGAAAAGCAAGGGATACCTGGAAAAAACCATGAGAGTCTAAGGAAAAGAAAACATTAATAAAAACTTGTTTTACAAAATTAGAGGGCTGCTGGTCATCTCTTGTATGAAACCTATCAGAGCAAAAATTCAGAGTATCCTGGTGAAAATTTAAAATATCCTACAAGCTTCCAGAAAGAAAGAATGCAAGTATAAAAGAGCCACAGTCAGATCACACACAATTTAGCATCCAATTCCATAAAGGAATGGAAAGCTTTGAATATGATGATACAGAGGGCTAAGGATTAGACTTACAGCCAAAAAAAAATTACCAAACAAATATTATCATACTAGGGGAAAACTAACCTTTAATGAAATAGCGGAATTCTAAGCATTCTTGGTGAAAAGACCAGAACACAGGAGTTAAGAAAAGCACAAGAAGGTCAATATGAACTTGGTGCACAGTGGATAGAGTGTCAGGCATGAAGACAGGAAGATTTATCCTCTTGAGTTAAAATCTGGCCTCAGACACTTACTATCTGTGTGACCCTGGACAATCCACTTAACCCTGTTTCCTTCAACTGCCTCATCTGTAAAATGAGCTGCAGAAGGAAATGGCAAACCAGTGCAGTATCTTTGCCAAGAAAACACAAAATGGGTTCATGAAGAGTAAGACAAAATTGTAATGACTGAACAAAAAAAAATCATAACTAAACAAGGATAAGCTGCATATATTCTAATTTGGGAAGATGACAAATAGATCCCTTCTGACCCCAATCATCATCTGGAGTCTTAGAAGGAATCAAAGTCCAGGGAATGTCTTCATGAATTTAGGTTATGTCTTCATGAATTTAAAAGAAGGAGTGAAGAGGAAGAAGAAGAGAATCATCTAGGCAGGAAAGCAAGAGATGGAAAGAAAGGAAGGTTAAGGAAAATTTGCTCACAAGCCTCTGCAAAAATTTTCAACTTTTTTACTACCTTAATTGATCTGATGGCTGTGGAGTGGAACCTCAGAGTTCCTTCAATTCACAATTCTCCATTATTACTGACTTGTAACATGTTTTAATATGGCTATTGATAAATTAGATTTATTTCCTTGAGGATTATTGACCCATATCTATGACCATTCATCAATCATTCCAATCCAATTTAAAAAGGAAATGTGATGTAGCTGAAAAAGTATTAGAATATAAAATCACAAGAGGCTTCATTGTAAATACTGACACTTGGAAGCAATGTGACCCATCAGATAGTTCTCTGAATCTCAGCTTCCTCATCAGTAAATTTGGGATAATAAAATCTATAATACTTCAAGCATAGTGTTGTTGTAAGGATTGATTGAGATAATGTATGTAAAGAACCTTGTAAATGCCAGCTTTTATTATTTTGCTAACTCTCAGCTCTACCTATAAGTTCAAATCCAAAAATATATGTTTGTAGTTGGCAGAATTAAAACTTCCTTACACAATGCTATAGCATTCATGAGACTTAAAGCTGGAAACAACTTCAGAGGTCCTCTCTTGTAATCCCCAGCAACCATTCCTCTGAGGCTGAAAGGGGTGAAATAACTTGCAGAAGTCCCCCAAGTAATGAGTGGCCACTCTGAGATAGAACACAGTGTTATTTTCACTCAACCACATTGCACAAAAGAAGACAAAAAGATTCACAGAGTGATATATGTTATCAAGGGAGCAATGGGAAGACTTGGGTATAAGAAGGCAAGGACATAAGGAGAAGGAAAAAAAGATCTCAAAATTATATAGCATATTCAGCACAATATCTCATTCAGATGTGTATGATTGTTTTCTTTTTACTGATGGAATATCAGAGGCTCAGAGGAGTTTTGTGACTTGTCCAGAGCCACAGAAGTAGACCATGTCAGAGCTAAGATTCAAAAGCCAGTTTCCCAATTCTGAGTCCACTTCTCTTTCCAATTAGTCACCTAGCCTTTAGAAATCAGAGGCTGCTGAAGCAGTGGAAAACAGGACAACACTCTTTCTTAGGAAAAAAAAAAGATGTTTTTTTCATTCGAGTGTGAGGAGTTTCTTCGTCTCTTCATTGCTAATTCATTAAGCATCAAAGTTAGCAGTTAGGTGACACAATAGATAGAATGCCAGGCCTGGAATCAGGAAGGCTCATCTTTTTGAGTTCACATCTGGCTTGAAACATTTTCTAGCCATGTGACCCTGGGCAAGTCACTTAACTGTTTGCCTCAGTTTCCTCATCTAAACATTGAGTTGAAGAAAGAAATGTCAAACCACTCTAATATCATTGCCAAGAAAATCTCAAATGGGGTCAAAAGAGTCAGACATGACTGAAAAAGACTCAACAACAAAAACAAAAGGTCAAAGCAGGTAATCAAACTAGACTATGACATATACATATTGGTATGAATACAGGGAGGATGATGAGAGTACAACCTCCTGCCCCCTTAGCAAGCACTACTCCTAGCTTCATCTCCAGATGAATTTGTGATGGAGAAATGAAGCTAGATTTCTAAGCTCTAAGTGCTTTCTCACTCCTCTGCCTCATATTACATAGATTTCCTACTTAGATAAAAAGAAAAGCTTTCTCTCAAATCTGTCACTGACAGATTCTTTGCTCCCAGTACTCCTAGTTTCAGTGGATTAAATAGAACAAGCCCTCTAAGCAGCCCTTACAATAGCATAGTTCCTAATACTGAACATGAACATTCCTCTCAACTGGTTTTTCTTTTTGTCATTGACATTCATTTTCTCCACTCACATCGACATCTGTTGCAGATCATCTATGTGGCAAGAAATGCAAAAGATGTTGCGGTGTCTTACTACCACTTGTCAAGAGCAATGAGTGTCCTACCAAGACCAGGCACATTAGATGAGTTCATTGACAAATTCATGAATGGAAGAGGTGAGTCGACATAGATCTGTGGTCACCTGATCCGCTCCTCACCTGCTGTCAGCGCTAAACAAGGGGAAAGGTTCTATTTACACTTGTCTACTTTTTTCAATAATAAAATCAGAATTCCTCAAAAATATGATTCTCCAAATAATTGAGAGTAGCAAAATTTATTTATATCATCTTTTCCAAAGTGAACTGCTTTTTAATGATTAATCATCTAATATGAGCAGAACACTGAAGCATGACACTGTATAGTGGAGTTGGGAGAGAAGAATTTACATCTTCTAGAATTACTCAATGTACCCTAAACCGTTCATGTCCATATTGTTGGAGACATTACTCTATTATTTTGTGTTGGTATTAGCCCAAACTTAGAATATCTTGTACTGTCTTTATACATCTTGGCATGGATAAATCTTTAAGAGAGACTTCCCATACTAGTTGGTTTCTGGATGAGGAAGCAGAAAAGGGGAAAAACCTTAGTCCTATTTCAATAATTAGATTTTAAATGTAAGAGAGAAAGAATAAATTTCTCACACTATTAGTCTTTTTCTATTTTTTGTGGTCCCTGAACTAATTACTACTTTTATTGTGGTGTGGTCTGTAAAGAATATATGTATAATTTCTGCTTTTTATCTTTATTTGTCCTACCTTAGTGCCCCGTTACATAGCCAATTTTGCATATACCTGTATGTATATGATGTGTGTGTGTATATATGCATTCGTACTATTATAACAGTGTGTATATATGTATGTGTTTATACATACATATACATATATAATTCAGCAGTGTCCTTTGTTCTAGTTTCTCCAACATTTGTTTAATTTTATACTTTCCTTTTTCTACCTTTTTTTAGACTTATCAAAAAGACAAGAACTGTGAAATCTTCTGTCATTATTATGTTGCTATCCAAGTTTTCTTATAATTTAGTTAATATTTATTTGGCTAATTTAGATGCTTAAGCATTTAGAGCACATACCTTTAATATGAATCTTGGTTGATCGTCAATGACTCTTCTCAGCTTGTTCTCAACGATATTTTGCGTTTTGTCTGATGCCATGATTGTAATTCTTGCTTCTCTGGATTCACCAAATGCATAGGAAATTTATTCCAGGTTCTCATTTTTTTTCTGGTTGGATGGAGTGTATATACATATTGGTGCCTATTGGTGTTGGTTGGAACCAACGAAGTGCCACTGCAGGATAGATTGCTTTGATATACATAGAGCCTGAAAGTAATGATTTCCTGTACTTCTTTTAAAAAATAGTATTACATATGTGTGTGTGTTCTGACTGGTAAAATGATTTTGCTGATTTAGGGAACTTTCAGTGAGGAAACTCTTTCTACCAATTTAGAACACCAGCGTTGCTGCTACAATTACTCTTAGAGAGTTGTCTAAGATAGCTATGCCCAGGCACACAGTAGGATTTGACCAGATTTTTGTAATTTTAAGGCACGATCTCTGTCTATACAGTGTCATATTACTTTTCTAATTAAGCATAAAAGAATACATATGCATAAACATACAAATCTATGAAAATATCTGCACACTTACATATGGATCCTTTTTCTGCTACAAAAATGATCTTCACTGTGCTTCTTTAGCTCCTTGAACTTATAATCCAGGCTTCCCACTTATCTTTTCTTTTATAAACCAACTAGAGGTAAACAACAGTGACTGAGTACCAACTTTGTCAGATGTGGAATTTGAATGATGGATGTTATCTACTCTCTATCCTTCCATTCACCTCCAGTGCTCTGGGGTTCCTGGTATGACCATGTGAAAGGATGGTGGAATAAAAAGGACAAACACCCCATTCTTTACCTGTTCTATGAAGACATGAAAGAGGTGGGTAATAGAGTCAGTGTTTATGCACCCTACAATCTTTGCAGCAGTATCTCAGAATCAAAGAGTAAAAAGGGACTCACAGGCCAGAGAGTCCAAGGCTCCCATTACAATGGCCCTGACAGGTGCTCGTCCAACCTTTTCTTGAAAACTTCTAGTGAAGGAGAAGACATGAAACCCTAACACAGCCCATCCCACCTATCAATATCTGCAATTGTTAGCAAAGTTTTGTTTATATGAAGCTTATATCATCCTTTGGTCTCTGTTCTGCCCTTTGGTATTTAATCTATCTTCTAGGATAGTCAAACTATCACTTAATCTCAGCTATCATTTTCCTTCCTAAATGGAAGTTAAATATCTTTAACTTGGATATTGTCTTCCTGTAAAAGGAATCTTCCTCCATCAAGGTCCTGTTAGGACTATAACATATTATTAAGATTTCTCAACACATGTCTCTGGGTTGAATATTTTCTTTCCATAATTTTTGTTTCATTCTCTTTTTAATTTCTTATAGTCGTGGCAGCTTTAACAGTGACCAGACACTAATAATGCTAAGGAAAGGGCCAGGTAGGTGGCACAGTGGATAGAGCATCGGCTCTGGATTCAGGAGGACCTGAGTTCAACTAAAGCCTCAGACACATAATACTTGCTAGCTGTGTGTCCCTGGGCAAGTCACTTAACCCCATTGCCTACTCAAAATGAATGAATAAATAAAAATAATGCTAAGGATATAATAAACAACTCTCCCACAAAAGGATAGGGACCCACCACTCTAATGATCCAAGTCTACTTCTGGGGATTTTCTTATGCAGTCCTTCTCTGTGGATGTCTATCCACAAACATCTTTGGACAATGGCAAAAACCAGAGGATCAATTATTGGACTGAGCTAATAATCAAATAAACCATCTCCTACAATGAGATTGGGGACCACTGGGTCAAAAAAGTCAGGCATAACTCTTATACATCATGAAATGACCTGAAGCATGTGCATATGTGTGCATTTGTGTATATGTGTGTGTGTGTGTGTGTATTATACTCTAGTTCCCCATATTCCTCACATCACAGGGAAGCTGATACGAGACAGAATTTGACTGTTACCCCGAGTATTAATTCAAATGCCAGGCCCTCCTCTGAATGCTCCAGAGTTGGGGAGGCTAGAGGAGGGCTGTCACAATTGGGCTCAGTGAGCCAAGCTGGCCCTAGGATCCCCACACACTGTAAAAGCCCATGACAAGTATCAAGGACACTATTGCCCTTGCTGATGAGAGAGATGAGAGGAATGCCAAATAAACAGTCCTGGGAGAGTCTCCTGACTCTCTTTTTAGACTCCTAAAATAAGGTAATTGGGGAGATCTGGAGTAGACAATTTTGTCTTTAAACCAGAGGACTATTAGATGAAAAACATTTCCTAAGAATTTACAATGTGACAGGTACTGTTCTAAGTACTGGGGTGACAAAGAGAAGAATCAAAACCCCTACTCTCAAGAACCTCACGATCCAATTGGGGGTTGAGGGATGAGGGCTGGAGAGAGAACATATAAAGGACAGTTCCCCTACAGGTCAGTTGGCAAGAGTCCTCAAAACTAAATGTGCACTTATTGGAAGACATTGTACAGATAGAGATTTTGCCCATGATGCTGCTATTGCTTTTCATCTGCGAGTAACTTACATATTGAAATGTATATATGTGTGTGTATTGTTGTTGTTCAGTCATTTCAGTTGAATCCAACTCTTCTTGACTGCATTTGGGGTTTTGTTGCCAAAGATACTGCAGTGGTTCTCCATTTCCTTCTCCAGTTCATTTTATAGATAAGGAAACTGAGGCAAACAGGGTTAAATGACCTGCCCAAGGGTCATACAGCTAGTGTCTCAGCCACATTTGAATTCAGGAAGAAAAATCTTCCTGGTTTAGCACTCTAACTACTCTGCCATCTAACTAACCATGTGTAACACACACACACACACACACACACACACACACACACATACATATACATATATACGAATACATATATAACAACGCACAGCATCCTTTACAATATGCATATATGTGTATATATGTATGTTGTATACATATGTAATACATATATGTATGTGTGTATACATTTACATGAATACACATCATGTTGTTACCTTTCCTTATATCATTAGCAAAGCAACAAACATTTATTCTATATGCTTACTATTTACCAGTCATTGTGCTAAGCACTAGTAATACAAATAGAAGCAAAAAAGACTGTCCCTACCCTCAAGGAACTTTCATTCCCATAGCGGAAAACACCACATAGAAGGAAGTTTAAAAGGAAGGGAACATGTTAGAGAAATTCTGGAAAGTCAAATGTAGAACCATGAGGGGAAGAAAGATATGGCTGCCTGGGTTATGCCTTAAAATTTAAGATATGGGAGGAATAAACCAATCAGAAGAATGGGCCACAGGAATAGATTATACTCCCAGTGTAAGAAATCCAGAGGTGAGGGTGAGCTGCCAGCGTGTGGCGGCTTCTGTGGCCTCATAGAGAAAGCTGACAGAGCCATGAATATAACCTGAAGAAGATTATCAGGCTCATAAGCACACAATAATTGCTTACTGATTAGTCTACTCACATTTACTGCCTGTGTCACCCTGTGGATGTCATTCAGCCTCATTTTGCCTTAATTTCTTTATTGATAAAATAAAGCAGTTGGATAAGATGAGATTCTTTTTGGCTCTACATCTATGATTCTATGACCTTATTTACAGATATGGCAGGACACTGTGAACTTATATAAGGTGTAATCTTTTTTTTTCTTTTTCTTTTTTTTTCTTTCTTTTTTTTGCTTTTACTTGGCTTCTCCTCACCTAGAACCCAAAGCAGGAAATCCAGAAGATTTTAAAGTTCCTGGAGAAGGACTTGTCAGAGGAAATTATCAATAAAATCATCTATCACACATCTTTTGATATCATGAAGCAAAATCCCATGGCAGGCTACGACACCATTCATATAAACATAATAGACCACTCCATATCCTCATTCATGAGGAAAGGTGAGTGAGGTTCAAGTTCTGAGTTTTATGTTTTATGGGAAGGCAAACTCAATATATGCTAATTGTGACTTGTTTAAGAATTCCCTTATGCAGCACGTACTGTAGAGAGGGCATAACCCTGTAGAAAGAGCAGTAGAATTAGGTCAGAAGATCAGCTATACTCCTAATCAATATATAACTATAAGTAGGGTCTCAGGTTGCTAAATTAAGTGGACATAATTTTACCTTACTCACCTAAATCATAGAGCCATAAAATGTGATGAGATAAATGAAAAGCATTTTGTCGACTGAAAATGCTATGAGAATTTATGCTGTTATTGGAACTCATATCTTCAGCTCTGCAGTGTTCCTCTGTAAATTTAGAAAAGTGAACTTTATGTTCTCACCCATTCATTCAGAGTCTATATGAATATGTGACATTTTTGAAAATTCTACCTTATTACCTCAACACTGGGGTTTTACTTTGTTTCAGGAATAACAGGGGACTGGAAGAACCATTTTACTGTTTCCCAGAGTGAGAAATTTGATGAGCATTACAAAAAGAAGATGGCAGGAACCACTTTAACATTTCGCTCTGAGATCTGAAGTGGAAAAGAATAGAAACTCACCTAAAATTGTCCTTGAACATTTTTTTCCATTAAACCTCATGCCCACATGTACATCAAACCATGAAAGTCATTTACTGCGCTCCTCTATCTACCTACATTATAATCCCTCAGCATTCAATCAATTAACAAGTTGTATTAAGCACCTGCTACATATCAGGCACTATCTGAAACATTGGGGTTAAATGACAAAACAAAACAATTTCTGACTCAAGGAGTTTGCAATCACGTAAATCTGGAAGAGAGAGAATTATGTGTGTATACACTCACACAAACACATGTGTATGTTTATGCTTGGTATGTGCACATTCACACACACATCTACACACATATTCTGTTAGTCAACTGGCACTTATTAAGCATTTTCTATGTTCTAAGCCCTGTACTAACTACAAAAGATGAAAAGTGACAAAAAACAGTCTCTTCTCTCAAGGATGTTAGGGTCTACCGGAGGAGACAGCACAAAACAACTGTGTACAAACAAGATATACTCAGAAAACTTGGAGAAAATCAGCAAGAACAGACAGTAAGACTCAGGAGACTTTGGAAAAGATTCTTGCAGAAGATAAGACTTCAGCTGAGACTTGAAGGATAGCAGGAAAAACAACAAACAAAGAGGAGGAGGGAGAGAGTTCCAGAAATGATCCAGCATGAGAATGCATGGAGTCAGTCAATAAAAAAAGATAAACCATTCATTAATTTGATTAAAATGAGGAAAAAAGAAAAACAAATTCCCTGTGGAAAAATAAAAGGGGTGAATTTACCACCAATTAGGAAAATTAAAGCAATCATTAGGAGCTATCTTGCCCAATTACGTGCCAATAAATCTGACAGTCTAAGTGAAATAAATGAATAACTACAAAAATATAAATTGCGCAGATTAACAAAAAAGGAGATAGAATGCTTATATAACCCCATGTTACAAAAAGAAATTTAAAAGGCCTCAGTGAACTCTCTAAGAAAAAATTCCAAGGAATAGATGGTTTCACAAGTGAATCCTACCAAATATTTAAAGGAGAATTAATACCAATACTATGTAAACTATTTGGGAAAATAGGCAAAGAAGAAATTCTATAAAATTCCTTTATAACAAAAATAGGGCACTTATACCTAAGCCAGAAAGAGCAAAAGCAAGGAAGGAAAATTATAGACCATTTTCCCTAATAAATACTGATGAATAAATGTTAAACAAAACACTATCAGGCAGATTATAGCAATATATCAGAAGGATCATACATAATGACTAGATAGGATTTATACCAGGAATGCAAGTATGGGTCAATATTAGGAAGACTATCAGTGTAATTGACCCTATCAATAACAAAACCAAAAGAAATCATATGATTATCTCAATAAAAGCAGAAAAAAATTGACAAAGTATAACAACCATAATACTAGCTATATCAATAGGAGAAGAAAGATAAATTGAACTAGAATAGGCAATGAGGAAACAGAAATGTCATTCTGCAAATGATATGATGGTGTACTTAGAGAATCAACTAAAAAACTCATTGAAGGATCAGCTAGGTGGGGCAGTGGATAGAGCACTGCCCCTGAAGTCAGAAGGACCTGAGTTCAAATCTGGCCTCAGACCAACACTTGACACTTACTAGCTCTGTGACTCTGGGCAAGTCACTTAACCCCAACTGCCTAAAAAAAAAACCAAAATAATAAAAAACTGTTTGAAATAATTAACAACTTTAGCAAAGTTGCAGATCATAAAATAAACAATGAGCATAAATATATATTACCAGTAAAGCCAACCACAAGAGATACAAAGAGAAATTCCATTAAAAAGAACTATAGGGGGGCAGCTAGGTGGCACAGAGGATACAGCACTGGCCCTGAAGTCAGGAGGACCTGTATTCAAATCTGGCCTCAGACCAAACACTTGACACTTACTAGCTGTGTGACCGTGGGCAAGTCACTTAATCCCAATTGCCAAAAAATAAAATTAAATTAAATTAAAATAACTGCAGACAATATGTAATACTTGGAAGTCTACCTGTCAAAATGAATCAAGGAACTATATGAACATAATCACAAAATATTATTCACATAAATAAAGTTAGATTTAAACAATTGGAAGAATATGAATTGTTCATGGGTAGGCTGAGCCAATATAATAAAAATGACAATTCTCCCTGGATTAATCTACTTATTCACTGCCATACAAATAAAATAACAAAAAATCATTTTACAGAGTTTTAAAATAAGAATGAAATTCATCTGGAAGAACAAAAGATCAAGATTATCCAACAAATACATGAAAAACAAAGTGTGAAGGAAGGTGGTCTAGGTGTGTCAGATCTCAAACTATTATAAAGTGACAATCATCCAAACAATCTGGAACTAGCTACAAAATAAATGGGGGATCAGTGCAAAAGATTAGGTGCACATTACATATAGTAAATAACCATAGTAATTTAGTGTTTGATAAACCTAAATATCCAAGCTTTTGGGACAAAAACTCATTACTGGACAAAAACTGTTTGAAAAACTGGAAAACAGTAGGCAGAAACCAGATATAGACCATCTCACACCACATACCAATGTTGAGGTGTAGATTCCTGGGGTGCTAGGAACCCCAAATCACAATATGGGTATGCTGCCTGAATGAATTTGACCCAAGTCTTCTTGCAGCCAAAGACAAAGTTTTATTAGAGACAAACCATATAGGCAAGGAATCTGAACATTAGTGACACCCATAAGGACTAGTGGGCATGAGGAAATTTCAGCCTTTAAATGGGGGCCAGGATGGATCTTATATACACTCAAATAATTTTGGGTGACTAGAGGAGGGGCTGGGGAAAAGATCCTGAAGCTGGGGTGGGTTTAGGGACAATTCCAATGGGAATATTTGGAAGGTTGAATGGGGTCACCAGGGAATGGACAATGGGGGGCTAATTTCCATTAGAGTAACAAAGAACTGGAAGATTGGGAAGAAAGAGGTTGATACTTCCTTAGGTTATCAAAGACTAGGCTTCTTCATTAGGATATCAAAGACTAGGCTCCATTAGGGTTTCAAAGGAAGATAGGGCTTAGGAGATAAGAACTGGGTGAAGGGAGAGCAGCTTCATCAGAATAAGAATAAGAGATAAAGAATGGCCAGTTGAGTGCAATATAGCCTCAGGCAACCGTTGAAGACTAGAGTGACTTCAAAGAAAGTTTAAGTGTTTTCTGGGGCCAGTAGACAGAATGGGATGCAAATTCTTTTTGAGGCAAGGGGCAAAGGTCTCAGCTTGGGCCCATATTCAATCACCAGGATTGGGTAAAAAATAAGAACATGATTTAGACATAAAAGCATACCATAAGCAAATGTGAAGAGCATGGAATAGTTTACATATCATATATAATATATAATATTATAATCAGATATATGTCAGATCTATTAATAAGGGAAGAATTCAGGACCAAAGAAGATATAGAGAGCATTGCAAAATGGATAATATTGATTATATTAAAAGGAAAAGGTTTTGGGGACAGAGCCAAGATGGTGGAGTAAAAGCAACAAAGTGCTTGAGTTCTCCCCCAGTCCCCTCCAAATACCTGTTAAAAATGACTCTAAACACATTCTAGAGCAGCAGAACTCACAAAAAGACAGTGAAACAAATTTCCAGAACAAGACAACCTGGATGGTTGGTAGGAAAGGTCTATTGCACCAGGCTGGGACAGGAGCTCAGTTTATTGTGGAGAGGCAAAGACCAGGTCAGAGCAAACCCAGAGCAGGCCTTAGGAGACTGAATCACTAGCAGCTGTGGCAGTTTCCAGACTTCCCAATCCACAAACACCAAATACAATTTAGAAGGTCAGTGGGAAAGGATTGTTGCACCTTGGTGAGAGAGGAATACATTCCAGTCCTGGCCCTAGTGCAACCCCAGGGTGGAGGCCACAGCAACAGATGCTTCTGGAGCTCTCAGCCCACAGACATTGGGGGGGTTGAGTGGTTGATCAGAGGGGGATTGCAAGAATCTCTTTGTTGGCAGGATTCTCCTGCTTTGCCTATATTTGGGTCTGGGAGTCCTCCTCACAGCTCCAAAGCAGAAGAGAGTACTTGTGGTTACTCATAGACCAGAACACAGGCCAGGAAAGGAATAAACACTTCTCCTTTGATCATGCCACTTTGGAAGAACTGAAAATTTACAGGTCCCTATGATGAGGGCGTGGGCCCAAGCCGAGATCTTAGTCCCTTGCCCCAAAGGGAATCTGATTCCCATTTGTCTACAGGCCCCAGCCTCTCATCCCCTTTGAAAGCCTTAGGCTTACCTTTTTATCTTATTCAGATGTACCTTTGCCCCTCACTCTAAAAGAATCTGGCTCCCTTTTGTCTATGGGCCCCAAAAAGCCCTTACTCTGGTATCAAAATGTTCCTTATGGACTCCCCTTATCTCCCTTTGAAAGCCCTAGCCCCACCTTTTGATCTTGTGAAGATGCCTTTCAAACTTCTGCCTTCCAGTTCCCTTCATTATCTATTCCCATTGTCTATTCAATCTCTCAGATCTTCCAAGTGGAATTCTCACTAGACCCTTTTCCCAGCCCCCTCCTCTGGCCACCCACAGTTACCTTATTGTATGTAAGATCCACCATGGCCCCCATTCAGATGCTGAGAATCTCTCATGCCCCAAAAGCTGAGCTTTTCTCATACCCTCTTGTCCTTACTGGCGGCACCTGGCCTAAGTGTTTTATCACTAATAAACTTCTCCTCTGGCTGAAAGAAGATTTGAGTTGAATTCATTCAGACAGGGCCCAGCTTCGTAATCTTGGGGGTTCCCAGCAGCACCCCCAAAACCTCTAGACCTCTTCACCTAGAAGTATCTCTGAAAACAGCTGCACAAAACCCCTGAAGCTTGGGACAGTACACCCTACATACTGGAAGCAGAGCTGTACCTTAACAAAGAGTTTAAAAGTCAAGTAATTAGCTGGGAACATGAGCAGGCACCAAAAAAAAAAAAACCCTCAGACTCTAGAATCATACTTTGGTGAAAAAGTCAAAACATAAAACCAGAAGAAGACAACAAAGTCAAAGCTCCTACATCCAAAGCC